TGAACTGATATATTATTATGTAACGTATCTGCGAAAGAAAAAATTATGAATAACAATTGACGCTGATAGCCTTTTCTGCCCGCTTTATGAACATATACAGGTATTGTGTGTTGGGGACGTTAGATCCCAGAACTCATTTGGGAAAAGACCTAATTTTGTAATTTTATTTAGAACATTTGAATTTATTGTTTTCGTACCAAAGGCGCTCTTGTCACCTTGTTACAGGAGAACTGAAAAATTTGGCGGATCAAAACCTTTTTATTGTATATTATTAATTTACTGTGTTTTTGGGTGTATCTGTTTTACTTAACTTTGGAACTTGCTTGTTTATATCATTATTTCGGACATTTTGGTTTCCCTTTGTCGTTGGTTTGGTATTTGGTAGTTTTGCTCCGGGAACCTACAAAATTGAAGGTTTGTTTTGTAATTGTTATAATTATTGTTGTTAGAACGACATTTGGGTAGACTATTTTTAAATCGCGAATAAACCTTTGTATCTGAATTGGAATTTGGTTCTATTGTTAATTTGAGTTCGTGAAATGCGAATAGATCGACATACCGTACTTCAGTAAAGGGAACGAGCAAAAACTTGGACGTGACAACCTTCATGTCGTATTTCACAATGGAAAATACTTTAAATGCTATTGGTGCGTTGCGTCTTTTAGTATGTTATTTGGTAACTCTCCCCAAAGACGGTTTTAAACTGTATATATACGTTTTGAATTGTGTTTGTTGTTATCGCTCGTTTCTGGCTGTTTGTAGAATATACTTCCGCATTCCAAGCTTGGACTTCTCCCTTTAGTTAGCGGGGTTGGGACGCATGAATAGCTAGCTTACTGGTCTTTGGTCACCGAGCCTTGCTTCTCGTTCACAGATTGAGTGAACTCGTGATAGCTGCAACCCTTGCACTGTGTATAACTGTAGTGACATTGGACCATAACCACACAATCCTCAAAGCTTAACATGAGACAACTCGGAAAATAGATATTCAATATTTAACGCGGGGAAATACCTAACAATGGGGAAGGCGCGAACAATGAATTGAATGGACTGGAGTTGATCGGATGGCATGGCTCGACCATGCAGGCGTGGTCCATCTGAATGTTACCTTATATCTTCTATTCATATTAAATATATTGTTCTTTCTCTAGCTTAACCTTGTTCTACATCATGTATTGGTAATTGATATGATACAGTGAGTTGGTGTAGTCGATGGTGTGACTTCCACGTAAGATCTTATAGATTAGGCAGTTATATCATGACAAATCTACAATTTAAGGATTAGGCCTATTATTAGAGCAGTACTAATATAATAGTAGACCATAATTCTACATAACATTATTGTTAGTGCCACATAAATTAGTCACATATTCTCCATAACTAAAGCGATGCGCGTTTGTTTTGATCATGTCTAAACCATGTTCTAATGCATGTTGACGAGTAATGTCTAAATGACGCTTACCAGTTTCTTTGTGAACATCAAAATACTAGGTGAAGTTCTGGAAGGGTTGCAAAGTGAAGAGCACTGTTTACAAGTAAGACACTGTAGCAGTAAATAAATCCCAAAAAATAATTAGCTCTGTAACTCTTCGACATTGAATGCTTACCACATGTTTTAATGGACTTACCTAGCTGAAGGCACTCGGTCATGCATCCACACCAGAGCACGTGTGGGAACGCCGTGCTCAACACCTACTGCAATCGCTAGCCAGATTAGATCAGACGATTCTCGATATATTGACAGTCGACAAATATATCTTCCGATCTCCTCGATTCTGTTTTTTGGTTTCTCTTGGTGGGTACGAGTTATATGAGAAGGTATTACTGGTTAAAGCGTTGTCAAACATTGAATACCTGTGCCATCTTTAACACTTATCCTGTTGGCTGCAATTGCATTTACTTATAGAATTTTATACTGATAACGGAGTTTAACAGTTTTTTAACGACTGATTCCTTGTTTTTCAAAACTGCATGAAGCTGGAAAGACGTCATATGTTTCTGATATGCAAATTTTGGCTTCCGTCAACTAATTGACAGGCCCGAAGTTTTCTAATAATCATGTCTATGACAGTGAACAACTTGGCGAACTTATATATATGGAGGATTATGTGGAGAAACAACTTACATTTTGACGAGTACTGTGTTTTATATTGACTACTTCCTCGTCTGTGCATTTATTGACTCATTTATATATTAACATAACAACCATACAGTATTTTGCGTAGTAACTCTTGTTAGTAGTCTAGTTCGGTACTAGTATTACTTTGATAATAGACCTAATCCTTATCTGTAAGATCTTGCGTGGAAGTCCAAGTCGATGCAGTACTACAAGTTTTCTTAACGAAACTGGTACTTATAAAGCAGGCGTATCGTTGTTTTCAATTTTCACAAGTAGTTACCAGTTAAAACTATCGGTATATCTAACCATGAAGCTATGAAGACTAAACTAAAAATTGTGCAAAAGTCCAGTGATGCAACATTACTACAACATTTGATGCGGAAGAATCAGTTTACAAGTTGTATATATAGTTTAGTTAAAAATACTACTACGAAGAACTTCTTATAGTAAACAGTTCCTGTCACGTCTCCACACTGTTATATTTCGATCCATATTTTCTATCGTAAAGAATACTACACAAAGACAACCGTTATAGAAACCACATTACTATCTACTTATTGATGATTCTTAAGTAAAAATTGATTTCCCTGAATCTACACATTCTGTTTGCTTCGTCTGGGTGGTGAAATTGTTGTTACTATGGAAGGTGTAAGTGTTATCTATCTTTCATTGACTGCAATGTCTACGAACATGATGAACTATACAGTTTATATTTTTTTATTGATCGAGCCTACCCGTAAGAGTTCATTTTCTTATGTAAGCCAGAAGCATAGGACGGCCAGGACACCGGCTTGTCCCAATTTATCCACGATTCAGGTAACATCTGCACCCAACACGTTTTCCTTCCAGGCGAACAGAACGGGACCAAAATTTACCCAGACCGGAAGAAATCTTCTCTGAAATGGGGAGACTTAGAAGTTATGAAGCAACAATCGATCCAACGTGTGCACTACGAGATGGAGAGAGCTAAATCAACGTCCATCGCAATGATTTTGTGTTTTTGTTGCAGCAAGAGACCACTTTAATATGAAAACACGTGATATCCATGCAGCCCAACGGACTCCCAAAGAACCCTCAGCGTTTGAAATACCGAATGACCATCTCTTGTGAAGCAGTTCAAGGTCATTGAAACGGAACCGCGGACAGCTTTAAAAGGTTCTGATGTTTTTAACTTGCCCTGAAGTCACCAACTTCTGATCTGAACCATGTTATTAGATGCAGATTACTGGGTTGGAGTTCACGCCACTATCGAAACCAGTGGTTGGAGACTCTGGGTCATATGGCTCAGAATCAATCACGGTGAGTAGGTGTGTACACTTCTCATCTTCCTTTAAACCGTGAGATTGAAATTTCTTTCTTTCTGTATTATATCCTTATACAGAATCTTTCTTTTATTTATTACTGCCATCAAAGTAACTACTTCTATGAATTTGGTGTTCATCGTGTTGGGCTAATGAGGTATGGCCAATTGGACCGACGCATATATGTGCCTGGTCCTATGTTGTAGATGACTGACTGTTACAATATAAATGGTATATCGAATAACAAAATGATCTCGGCTATTATGAAATGAATTTTATTTGTTAGCGGCTCTCTGAGATAACATCTACCAATCAGTTCACTTGATTATCGAAGGTTCCTCTACACCTGGTGGCACCAACGGCATAGTGAGGATGATTCTATTAGCTAGTATTATTTGAAAACAATCCGGCACAAGACTCCAACTTAGTGTAGGATAGCCTAAAAGAATGTAATAGCACTATCACGACTTTCAATCAAAGGCTGTGGCCAATAAAGCAGAAGAGAGGACGGCTGAGATAGCGTTTATTTCTCAACAATCGCGGTAGTGTGTATGTATAATAAGAAACAATCATATATGTTTCTTTACGCATGATAAAGAGGGATAAAAGATATTGAATATAAATAAGGCTACAACTGAAGTGTGACGAACAAAATAATGAGGTCTATATTTTGTCGTTACAGAAATCATTGAATAAACTTGTCGCATGATCAGTCATATCAGAATTCAGAAACGAAGTGGTGCGAAGATATATTTGATAGGCTATCGGTATGTCGAGGGGGGGTTGGTCTAAGGTGGCTAACAGTTGAAACGGATACGCAGCACGTCGTAACCACTCGTGATCTTGTAGCGCGGTGTCGAGTCGAGATTGATTATGAACACCGCTACCAAGGAAAGCGTGCCAGGATATCCATAAAATCCCCCGGAAGCCAAATATCAGAAGGCAGTTAATGGACCAAGTCGAGATATATTTGCTGGCGATCATGTGGTACCGAGAGAATACCGTGATCGTGCCAGGATACAAGCTTGGTTACTGAGCTTAACTGGATTCGCGCGAGGTCACAACCGAAATATTATGAATGTTTTTAGCACAGTTAAACAAAGAGCACATTAAAACAGTCACTGGTACAATTGGTTATAATAATTGTTTTCATTAAACTAATCGTGCTTTTGTGATAAAAGTAAGTCACAACAATCTACTGCGGATTCGTGACCGTGTGCCTTCAGCTAGGTTTGTCTGGTGAAATTAACGGAGTCAGCATCAGTGTTGAAAAATTGCAGAATCAATAACTTTATTGATTTATTCGCTGCTACAAAATCATCTTCATATTCTCCCAGAAAGGTTTGGAAACAATGAACTCATTAACTCAGAGTAAGATTCCGTTTCTACATTGAACAGTCAGCGCATTGAACACCGTACCTGGTTCCGGACCTACTGACGAATTTTTTAATAGGAAACGTGACCTCTAGGAAAGTACTTAATTCAAGAAATGGCACAGGTCAACTGACTTACTATCCTTACTACTTGGTCTCACTTAGACTTCGCGGGCTTCGTGACTGTGCGTTACGACCCGCAGTAACATGACTGACACACCTGAGGAAGTAAGCTTGACGATGGCTCTCCGCCATTTGCGTAATCAGTACTGTTGAATATCACACAAAAACGTAACTTCACAAAAAATAACGAATTGTTTGCACAGGTGTACATCATAATAATCTAACTGCTTTAATCACACCCAATCTCTCTATTTCGGGCAAAATTCTGTCCGTTTTGGGTAAATCTAGGAGAAATCGCAATAGGAAACTTTGGGGAAATGGCACAAAATCCCCAAAATGTTTGAATGAATTTCGGTTTTCCCCCATATTTCCACAGAATCTTATAACACTTTGGGGGTTTTTCCCCGAAATTTACCCAGAGTTCCCCAAAATGGTATCTGGCAGTGATGGAAGGTCATTTACATTCTTAGTTTCCTAAAGTAGAAGTTAGATATCTATGTGAGTTCTAATTTTGACAATGAAAATCTATTCAAGGCAAACTAATTTTGTGCTTTTATAATAGAAATGAAAGACTGCATGATATCATGTATTTTTTTTCAAGAATTCACTTCTGTCCAAGGAAAGCTCAACATTCCGCCCCGTCATTGTTCTGTTAGACACCGTCATTCCATTATGTAGTCTCCCTATTTTTCATTAGGATCGTTTCGCAGTCAAATAAGCTCCAAGATACTGACCCTTAGTGGCGCTCAAGTCAATCATATTTGTCTGTGAGTCTTATTTCAAGCATCTGAGAAAACAAGTATCTTTTAACCGTGGTTTTTTGGGTGAGGGTAAAAAGAAGATACCGTACATCTGAAATATCTTAGCCCTCGGAATATCCATACAATTCCATTCTGTTAGGCAGGGGGACTCGCAGTGCGTGTATTCATCCGAGGCGTCTCAAGAAAAACGGGAACCTACAAATTCACAGGTCTCATAGTATTCCTTTCACTTGTTACGTATCCATTTACGTAAAAAACATGCTTTCGTAGTACTTCGTAGATAAGTTCTTACAATGAAAGCGTTTATAAAGAACTACCAGTGGATTGTTATCCATCACGTGGGTTAAAAATTTCATACTTGTTTTCACCCGGCTGTGATGAATCTTATATTTAGTTATGGCTGAATGTACGACTTAAATATTTTGTGTCGACTGATTGATGCCATAGGATAATGGTAAAGGTCACTAAACTTATTTCTTGCAAACTCATTCGATACTTCATCATTCTCGAGTTTGCGCTCCAACGTCTAATATTTTATATCACTTTTCGTTGAAAATTCGTTAGCCAGACTGTTTGGCTAGTATCTGCGCGATTATCATGACCTGTAGTTGAAGATGTTGAATGATATGGTTCAAAATCGGTTGAAATGACATGGGCCTGCACTTCCTTAAACAATTTATATCTTTGTGTTTTCTTTACAGTCTTCAAAAAGCAAAATGAAAAAACCAGCTAATACAACTGATGTGTCGGATAGTTCTAACTCACTTCCTAATACTGATAAATCTTTGTCATCTGGACAATTCCCAAACGGGATTAATGAGAAACTTTTAAAGCAACTCACCAACGTCATGTTGGTCTCTGGATCTGGTAGTTCTAGTGGTGTGACAGAAAAGAAGTCTAAAAATGACTATCGATTCTGGAGAACACAGCCAGTTCCTGACCTCAGTAAGTTACATTTTCACTTCTTTACTGATAAGTATTTTAGTTTTTCAATGTTCTAAGATCACTTGATCTAGTTGTGTAACCTTACGCATATATGAGGTAGATCGTTTAAATGAATGAAAACTACTATTAATAAACATTCAGAACATCACAATGCTGAATATGAAACTAATAACACTGACGTCTATGTAAAATAGTACGGCAAAACTTATATCCCAGTTTGTAGATGATTGGTCAGTCAGTCAGTAACAACGTAAAACTTCGTACGCACGTACATCAGTTCGAGTTGCCACACCACATTAGCACAGAGATGCAGTGGTCTATTCAAATCCCATAGTGCTAGATGTAGTAAAATTATAAGCTGTTATCAGAAAAAAATTAGGGTTTGAAGATGTTATTCAAGGAGTATAATCCAGTGAAATAAATTTGGAAAAAGAAAAAAGGAAGGGACATGAAGAATTCAGAAGATTAGAATTTGGGAGAACACAAAGAGTGGATGCACCTGCGCCATTGCGAACGATTTGGAACCTCCCGGTAGAAGTACAACCCTGTAAATTTAGATGAGGAGAGTGTTATCTCTAAAAGTACGTCAATGACAAAGTTAAAAAAGAATGGAGAGAGTGGACAACCCTGACGAACACTACTTGAGGTAATCAATTCTGATGACAGTTCACCATAAGCTCTCACTCAACCAGTTGTGTTCGAGTAGAGAGCCTTTACAAGGTTAATGTACTTCTTCGGTACTCCTTTCAGTGACAAACACTGCCATAGAACCTTACGATCAACAGAGTCAAATGCCACCTTAAGGTCGAGAAATACTACCATTGTGGGACGTCTGAATGTTTGTCTATGTTCTAGGACCTGATGTAGTGTGAATACTTGGTTTATACAACCACGTCCAGGTTGAAAACCAGCCTGATTTTCTCTAGTCTGCTCTTCACGAGCTTTCGTTAGGCGTCGAAGTATTATGGAAGCTAATATTTTAGACACTATATTAGTCAAACTGATTCCTCTGTGATTGTCACAAGAGGACTTTTGTCCTTTCTTACAGACTGACACAATCAGCGATTGAGACTAGTCATATGGGATTACGTCCAGTTCCCGAATTCTATCTAAGACCTCAGTCAATCTCACTTCTAATACTGGACCACCATCCTTAAAAATCTCAGGAGTAAACCTATCAGGGTCTGCTGCTCTACCACGCTCCAGATTTCCTATAGCTTTTTCAACTTCCTCAAGAGTCAGAGGGCCTACATTAACTCGCCATTCAGGTCGATTGGAGATCGTGGGAAACCGAAGTGTATCTGAAGTCCAGCTGAACTGATCCCTAAAGTGTTCTGCTCATCGATTCAATCTCCTGGATTGAGAATGTATAATATGTCCATTTTCTCTGAGATTGTTTCGCTGACAGTCGTGTTCCTAATACCGGTTTCCTTAACAAGCCTGAACAGTTGTCTGCTATTACCTATTGCCACTGCCTTTTCCATCTCTCTTGCTTTCGCTACCCACCACTGTTCGCGATCATTGCGTAGACTTCTTGTCAGCTTGCGCTTAAGCTGACTCCGCTCTTCATTATGTTCAGAGCCAGGTGGAATGTGTTTCCGAGCATCTATCAGTGAGATAGATGCTGCTGAGATCCAGTGTTGCTCCCTAACCTTCTGGTTTACCTTACTAGCAGATATCACTGCTGTTTCCACAGCTTTTCGGATATCATTCCATGCTGCCTCGGGGTGGGCATCACATACATGGCTGCCTAACTGTTTTCCTAGTTGTTCCTGAAATATACTCTTAGCTTGACTATCATTAAGTAGGGCCCTAAGAGGTTTCCTTGCAGGATCTTTCCTACGTCCAGTAAGACGCAAGCAAATACGCGCTCGCACTAGAGCATGATCTGAATCTAGGCATGTGCTCCAGAATGAGTGACAGTCTTCTATCGAGCCCCTCCATCGGTGACTGATAGCTATGTGATATATTTGGGTCCAACGTTGGGACGAATTAGTGGGGTCGCCATGTCAAAATATGTTTTTCCTTATGCTTACAGTTAGTATTTGCAAGAAACAGGCGGTTATCTGAGCATAGCTGCAACGGACGGTCACCGTTATCTGTCCTTTGAACCATGACACTATAAGGTCCACCCAGATGTCTTTCCCTTTCGCTCAGTTTACCCACTTGAGCGTTGAAGTCACCAGCCAACATTACTACATCGGAGCGCGTAGCTTTTCGGAGAAGGTCGGGAAGCTTTCTGTAAAACTAATCTTTTATATCATCTGAGATGCAGTCAGTGGGAGAATAGACAGAAACGACGAAGAGGCAACGACTAGTGTCGCTATCTTTCCGAGTCCTTACTGTTCCGTTCAGTCAGACAGTGCACAAACAACTGTCTACTGGGATCCAGTCTAAGAGAGCTAGTTCTGCCCTAGAACTCAATGCTATACCTACGCCATCGAGGCCACGGGAAACAGCATCACGGCTTCCAGATACATGAAGCGTGAATCGAGTTGGTTCTTTATTTTGACATGGTGAGGTCAAGTGAATGACTATAGAAGTGGTCCTAAAAGCTCCGTGTGAATAATTGGTAACTTATGAGGCCAAGCCACTTTATTTTCTTTCGCTCCACGTTAAAAAAAGGAGTATATGAAAAGTAGCGTTGACACTAACAGTCATACACAATCCATCTTTCTAGATTTATTATATTCTACTTATTTAGTTAACCATTCAAAGCGTATGGGTAATTTAGACGCATCCATACGTGTGACTGGAGAGTAAATCGTGATACACAGGAAGATGGCATTAATTCATAACTCGACACCAAAATACACTGACTCAAGTAGCTGCAAAACGTAAGACTACAGAATGAGAATAAATGAATATAATAAAATAGGTAGAGGTACGGTTTAAGAAGATAAGTTTGCTCAAGTCTAGACACTACTTGCTGTTTTGAACCGAAACGTCATATCATACATTGTGTAACAAAATGGGAGTCAAATACCTACAAAATAGTCCGGTCAACTAGATGTGTTTAATGTGGATAAAACATTTACACTACAGTGAGCATGTTCAAAACTAGAAAATGAGATAACTTACCATATTATCCTCCCAAAGTGTTTCACACATCCCATACATTTGTTCTGTACACGTGCCGCTAACAACAAAATCGTTGGCCTCACATACACAGCCGATTAAGTCCATGCATGCAACGTATGGTTTGTTCGTAGTATGGTCAATACCAGCGACTACTGGCTCGACAAAGTATGGTCCAAACCTACACCTGTAACTTTATAAGTAACATTACCTGCGCTCGTAAAGCAAGTTAGATAACATGGTAGTTATGGTTTGAGGTTTGATTGTCCTATTCTCACGTAGCTCGTACATGTTTTTTCGGAAAAGCAAACGCTGAAACCTGGTGGACAACATTAATGATTTTTTAGTGCTTACACTGTCTGATTATCAGTTGCTAATCCAGGAAACCCTACGTACAGCCGAGGTCCGAGAGGATAAACTTTGGTGAAGTCAGTGGAAATTGTCTGCAAATTAACTCCAAACCTAAGATCACAAGCAATAGCTGCGCAATCTTTGCCAGACATTGCAATGACAGCAGACCCATTGTGCGCTAAGATACTCTTTGAAAATATCACGAAACGAAAAGGTGATTACCATTATGAATATTAAAAAGCTTCGTTATTGAAAAGATTGGTGAGCCTATTTATCTGAAATCACAGTCCAACCCCACGGACAATACACTAAGCTCACAGGTAGAATCTGCCCACCTTTAGTCTGTCCTTCAAACTACCGTAGTAAAACGAATCACGAATATGTAGTGTTCAGTCTTTGTTAAGCCCATTAAATATTTAGCTGTTAACGTTCGATTTGGGAATAGTTTGGGTGCTGATGGAACGTGCAGTGCAGAATGAACAAGGAAGGTTACCAAGTCAAGGGACAGAGAAAAAAGTGAGTTGACAACCTTTAAGCGCTTAAAATGCATATACTACAAGAATTAGAAATGAAAAGGCATAAGACCAATAAAATCTAGCAGTGTATACTTGAATTTGACGGCATAATGTTTCGAGTACGTTGCATTCTCTGGATTTGGATATATCGGCATCTGATTTTAAGAAACTGATTCCAACAGTTCTATAAAATCAACAAGGTACCTACTTTGCTTTGGCAACATGACATAATAATAGAAGCTAGACATTTACAGTGAGGAGTGATTTCAACATAAACTAAGATTCCACATAACTCTCACTTAACGTAGGTGAACGTATCACCCAAGTAGGTGAGCGGAAGAAGGAGTAGCAATTGTTTTGATCCTTCAGAAGCAAAAGATGTCATGGTCATTCATTTACGCACGCTGTGCAAAAGAGGAGTATTATCCTGATGATGACGGTCAGGACGTTAAGCCAGGGGTTTTTGCGCACATTTTACATGCTGTGAAAGACATTGTTTTTCGTTATTTATCAGGTGTTAACAGCAATTTTTCCGTTCCATGTCAATTTTCGTAATGCTTGTGTTTGGTTCATGGCTTTTACTCCAGTTTATTAGTAGTTTGACGTATTTGTTCCTAACAACCTTGATGAATATTTAGTCAACCTAATATGGTTATACGTAACACTGCAAATCCAATCAAGTGAAATTCACCATTTACCAAGTCAAAATATGACCACAATCAGAGTTTTATGGAAAAATGAGCTCTAAGAACTTCTACATTTTATTCACCTCCTTTATTATGATGGTGGTGAATATGGATGTTGGTAGTTGTTTATTAAATGTAGGTTGAATCAATTAAGCGTTAAACTATTTGGGAATGTTATATAACTTGATAATATATAGCCATAGAGAGTTCCATCCATTATAAGCATCATCGGTTTTGGCTGAACTGATATATTATTATGTAACGTATCTGCGAAAGAAAAAATTATGAATAACAATTGACGCTGATAGCCTTTTCTGCCCGCTTTATGAACATATACAGGTATTGTGTGTTGGGGACGTTAGATCCCAGA